TTTGAAAAAGTGGCATTTTTGTAAAGATTTTAAAAGTGTGACATTTATGTAAAGTGGCACTTGAAAAGTGGTATTTTTTGAAATTTTTCATTAAAAATTTGAACAATTAGTTTAAACTATTAAATTTTCTTTTTCTCATAATTAGTTTGAACAATTAAATTTTTTTTTTTCATAATTAGTTTTTGAACAATAAATTTTTTTTCTACTTTACTATTTGATCAGAAACTTAACAACTATTTTGTTTTTTCATTTTTCTTTTTACATATATTTAAGGGGCAATTGTAAAAATATTAATTTTGGGGTGTACATTTGCAAGAATACCAATATTTGTGGTGTATATTTAAGTTGTCTACGCACGTGCTAGGAAGAACATTTTTGTCATATTTTGTAGCAAAAAATAAAGAAAATGTGCTTAAGAAACCAAAGTGTGCCCTTACAGTAAAAGGGTAAAAAATGTTAGTGAGTGTAATTATTCCATAAGATAAGATCTTTTTCTATATAGCCCAATTTCTCTAAATTTTTTGTTGAACTAAAAATTAAAAGAAAAAGGACCGAATATCCGTTTCCATGTATGATTTGACCTTTTGCCACAAAGGCACAAACATTGGCTTTGGTGTTTTTCAATTTTTTTTTTCTTTCCTCTGTCTCAGCTTCTTTACTCGCTTCTTCGACAGGTATCGCCTTCACGACCACCTTCTCTTTACTTTGCAATTTTCGGATCATGTTTCAATTCCAATCTAGAGATCTTCTCTGTTCGGTTTTCTGATCAAATCTCTCTTCGAATTTCTCTGTTTTTTCTAGGGTTTTAAGTTGTATCCGATGGCTTCAAGTTCAGAAAAAACCCCTCTTTTAGGTATTGTGTTTATCTCAGTCGATTCCAAGCAATCCCTTTTGAGATTCGATTGTTTGTTTACCTCGATTTTAAGCGTTATAGCCAGATTTGTTGTTTGTTTTCTTCGAATTTCATAGACAAGCGTTTCTTGTTTCCGTAGATGAGAAAAACGATTCCAAGGAGGAGATTAAGAGTACTAAACCGGAATCTGGCTCAGGTGGTTCACCGTCACCTTCTCCGGCTGATTTTGGACTTGACTTCAATGCTTTCGATTTCTCAGGCATGGCCGGTATTCTCAATGTAAGTTTCCTTTGTTTGATTGCGTAATTCAG